GCAGGGGAGTGGGCTGAGTGAGCAGGACCGGAGCTGACACCCTGCAGGACTCCACGGAGCACAGAGAACCTAGGGCCTGGCCCTACCCTGTGGGCCTGAAGACCTTGGCAGCCTCTGGCTCTCAATGGCTTAATGAGCAACAGGAAATCAGCTTACATGGAGGACATGCCAATGCCTGCAGTAGAATATCACACTGGGACTTTTATTTTTTATTTATTTATTTTAAAAAATGTATTCTTATGTATTTGTAAGAATACAAATATGGGTCTCACTATGTAGCTCGGACCCATGGTGATCCTCCTGCTTTCAGCCTCCTCAGCGCTGGGATCACAGGCGTGTCCCACCATGCCTGGACTCTGGCTGGCTCAGCTCACCCTGGGGGCAGGGCTGGCGTGGCACGTAGTGCTGGGAACTGAACCACAGTCCCTGAGCTTGCCTGAGCTTGCCTAAGCAGGCGCTTTAGTCCACTGAGCTGTCTCGCTAGCCCCACACTGGCCTTTTAGACTGTGCACAGACTACACCAGAAACTAGCCGTGGCTCCCAGCAGAACTGTGGGCTGGGAATGCGGGCCTCTCCCAGCTGACAGGGCTTTACTTTTCACTGCACCCACTCAGAGCCTGGCCCACAGCGTGCCCCTGTCTTCCCTGCAGCTGAGGAGTCAGATAGAATCAGGAGGCTTCGGCTTCCACACGTGGGCTAGGGAGCGTGCATTACCATCTGCGAGTCTTGCTTACCGCCACGAGAGGCTCACTTAATGTCAGTGAGGCATGCTCACCGCTGTCGCCTGCCAAGGGCAAGGCCCTCTGGGAGTCGTATCAGACAGTGTGAGGCACGGAGGGCGCAGGAGGTCTGTGTCCAGTGGTGTCTGTCTCTTCTGGTCAGCCAGATTCCAGGCGTGGTGCATTCTCTACAGGTTAAGACGCCGTGGGAGTGGCTGGGGCTGCTGGGACTCTAACTCTTCTCCCTGAACACTGTGGCCACCCCGCCACCCAAGCCTTTTCTCAAGCTGACCTCAGCAGCTGGTGAGGGGTGCTTTAGACAGGCCGGTCAGGGGTGGCATCCCCCACAGTGGGGTGGAGCCCAAGACCTGGCACATGCTCTGCAAGCCCGCTTCACTGTCCTATGCCCCTATTTTCTCTCTCTTTCTTTTTTTTTTTTTTTTTAATTTTTGAAATAAGTTGCCTAGACTGGCTTTGAACTTGCCAGTCTCCTGCCTCAGCCTCTGGAGTAGCTACAATTACAAGTGTATATCCCTAAGTCTGATAGAAGGATCCTTTAAGATAAGTCCTTTGGCTGTGTGTGGTGGTGCATGCCTATAATTCCAGCACTCAAAAGGCTGGGGTAGGGGGATTGTGGCTAATTTGAGACCAGCCTGCACCATATGCTGAGTTCAAAGCCAACCTCAACCACATAGTGAGACTCTGTCAAAAAGGAAAAAAAAAGTTAAGTGGATTGTGGATTCTAGGGAGGAGAGGGGCTTTTAGGAGAAGGAATCAGTAGCTTCTTCGCTCCCAAAGCAGGAGCAGGGCATTTGGGAGGCCAAAGCCGAAGGATTGGGAGTTTGAGGCCAGCCTGGGGTACACAACAAGATTCTGTCTCGAAAAACAAATCAAACTCAGAGAAACAAATAAACTAAAACCCCAAAGCAGGTGCACAAAAAAGCAGGTAGTGTAGCCATGCATTTTAGAGGCAGACTGACAACGAGGAGGGAATTGAACGTCAGGTGCAGGGAGGCGCAGAGGGTGGCTGGGGTGTGAGTTCCGAGCTGGGGATTCTGGGGCAGCAGAGAGCCCCTGGGGAGCAGAGCAGAGCACCCAGTGCTGAGGTGGAGAGGCCAGCTGTGCACTCAGGGCAGACCCAAGGTGCCCCCTCAGGAAAGCACCTGGCACCTCTCACTGGGAGAGGCCCAGGGAGGAGGGATGAATCTGTGGCTCGTTGATTTGTAGGAAGATGTGAAACTCACCCTAGGAGGAGGAGCAAAGATGGGCTGGACAACTGAGTCCTGGGGCAGCACTTAAAGCTCAAGGCCCAAGCAGGACCAGGAGACCAAGGAAGAGTGGCCAGTGTGGTGAAGAGGTGATGAGGAAGGGTAGGGTTAGCACGGCTGACTGAGGCAGGCTTGTGCCAAATAAGCCAAAGAACCAAAGGCTGATCATAAACTAAGCAATCTGGCTGCAGTTTATTTATTTGATTTATTAGGTCTGAAGGTGGTTCATGGCCTGGCTAACAGGATTTTCGATGCGCTGGTCTGGTCTGCAAGCTGAGTGGAGAGAGCTAAAGAATAAATGTTGACTTCCAGTAAAAGTACCAGGTGACTCACAAGTGAAAAACCAAGGTAGTCACTAACCCCAGGAAATGCAAAGAGCTATTCAAAGGTCAAGGGGTCGTGATATTATACTACACAGCATAGCTCATAAAGCTGCGCTCTAGTTAGAATCTCACTGGGTATACTGAGGCAACCACCTCAGCTTCATTACCTCAGGGTGGTGGGAGGCCCCATGTGGTAGGAAGGGACTAGTAAAAGAGCTAAATTCTCATTCATTCCTTCCCCTGCCCAGTCCAGGAGATGAACCTCCACCACTGAGCTACATCCCAGCTCTCTATATTGTTTTATTTTGAGATGGCCCAGTTGCCCCAGCTATCCTCAAACTGGCTATCCTGCCTCAGTCTTCCAAGTAGCTGGGATTGTAGTGACCACCAACACACCCAGATAAACCTTCCCTTTAAAACTGATGCGCTTGCGCTTGAGCAGGGGAGATGGCTCAGTGGAATAAGTGCTTGCCTGGCAAACTCAAGGGCCTGAGTTCAATCCCCGGTTCCCCCCCCCAAAAAAAAAAACAAAAAACAAAAAACTGATGCGCTTGAAAAAGCCATTTGAGGAGTGTAGATGGGGTGTCAGGTGTCTTGGGGAAATGTGACTTGTAGTGATACAGTTAGTCAGACTGGGGAAATAGCTCACTGGTCTAAGTGCCTGCCTGGCAAGCGCAAGGACCTGGGTTCAATCCCCAGTACTGCATGCTGTGCCATTCCCCAAAGCTGGGTGTGGTGGCATATGCCTGTAATCCCAGAGCTGCAGAGACTGAGACAGGAGTGTCACAATGAATCTGAGCTGCATAGTGAGACCCTGTACCAAATAAATAAAGGATTAAAAAAAAAATACAGCTGGTCAGCACAGCAAAGAGGCTTTTCCCAACATGTGCAGGCCCTGACAGGTGCTTTTGGGAGAAGCAAGTCCTCTGGCCACCACAGAGGTAGAGTTTGGGGTCCTCACAGGGGCCTGGTGTGGGAGGTAGGTGTTAGCATGATGGCCATGGTCAAAAAGGTGGGTGGAGCCTGGATGTCATGGTGTGTCCCAGGCCTTGTGCCCTTCAGTCTTTCAAATGGCCCAGAGAGGGTAAAGTGTGGGGCAAAGCCACACAGCTGGCCTAAGCAAGGCCTAGGCCACTCACCTGTTGTGAGACCCATAGCACCATAGTAGGCAGTGACTTGGGTCCAGCCACTAGTGGCATGAAACTATTGCTCTCAGCCTAACTCAGGATGCCGCCCCTTAGCTCCTAGTAGAGGCATTAGTGATACAACACTACTGTTCACCGACAGCAATCCAAGTGCTTTCTGAAAGCTTTCAGTGCTTGTGGCCTGCGCTGTGGCTACTGCTCTTCTCGGTCACACTGTGGGAAGTAAGGCACAGAAGTCATGTGACCTGCCTGTCTGGAAGCGCCAAGCAGCAGGGACAGCCCTGACCCAAGCTGCTGGACTGCCCAAGCCTCCTTCTGAGGCTCCCACCCCCACCCCTAGGGTCCTTCCTAAAGGGTCTGGCATCAGGTCCTGAGTGTGGGAGGCCCCCTCTTGGCCACCAGACCCTCACTGTACTTGGTGGGGAGGTGGCTGCCATGTCCCCTGGAGCTTCCTGGCAGCCTAGGACACTCTGGGCAAGAGCTGATTGGGCTGGGACAGCACAGTCAGACAGGGGGCATGGCGTGCCTGGTCCTAGACCAAAGTGTCACTCCAATAGACTGCAGACCTGTCAGCCTAAGGTCAGGAAGTAAAATGGGCATGGTGTCACACCTGTAATCCCTGCACTTAGGAGGCTGAGGCAGGAGGATCTTGGTGAGTTTTTGAGGCCAGCTTGTCCCTGGCTCCTGGTCCTGGCTCAGGGTCCCCAGTTCCTGCTCCCGGCCCAGGCCTGATATGTGCTTGCCTAGGGTTGTGGTTGTCAGATTCCATGGGAGTCTCTATACCTTTGAACTTCACCGGAGGCCTGTTCTGTTCCTCACCCCCTATCTGGGCTTGGTGATGGGGTATATACATAGAAGCTGCCCCCAAGAGCCCAGCGTCAGGGCCGAGTCCCATGCCTTGCTCTCCAGAGGTGGAGGCAGAAGCACCCTGGGCATCCCCCTGAAGACTGCCACGCCCACTGTGGGGATGACCTCTGCCTGCCCTGTGTGCCTCCCTTGGCTCTACGACAGTGGCTCTGTCCCTGCCACCAGGGTGTGGGTTTTTTCCTGCTCACCTGTCCTGTGGCAGGGCTTATCTGACCACACCTGGCTGTCCCCTCCCTACCTTTGCCAAGCGGGGGCCTGATCCTGCTCCCACAGCAGCTCCATGGGCCCGCACCACTCTTGCGGTCTGTATCGGGTGGATAGAACCCATCAACTCCCCTCTCCACAGTGGCAAGGATGCTCAATGACAGACCCCTGCCTAGCTCTCTCCCTGGGCCCACAGTGCTGCAGTCACGCTTACCACAGCTCCTGTCACTGCAGCCATTGACAGCGGGTGGCCTGCCCCCCTCCTCCGCCATCCTCTGCACAGACAGGTCCACGTGTGTCCCCAGACGCCTGAATCACCGCTGATGGCTTGGGACCTGGAGGCTGTGGGTTCCTGGGGGCCCACTGGGTAGGGGCGGAGCCAGGCCGCCCACAGGGAACACCTGTGGACATAAATAGGCAGCGGCCAAGGCAGCAGCACAGGCAAGCGGAGCAGCGCCCACCCAGTGCCTACCAGTGTGCGCCAGGATGCCTGACACCATGCTGCCTGCCTGCTTCCTCGGCCTGCTGGCCTTCACCTCTGCCTGCTACTTCCAGAATTGCCCGAGGGGTGGCAAGCGGGCCCTGGTGGACATGGAGCTGAGAGAGGTACCACCGTGGCTCTCCCAGGGGAGTGGGCAGTGCCCCAGGACTGGTATCTTGGAACATGGTCCAGGAAGGAGGGGAGCCAGGGAGAAGGAAGTCTAGGGAGGTGCCCGTGAGGAGGTAGCGTGGCTGGGCAGAGGGAACCCAGCTGTCAACATTGGGAGGGGCAGAAGTTGCAGCAGGCTCAGTCTTCACCCAGGCAGGGCTGCAGTAAAGTGGGGGCGCCTCTGCAGTACCCAGGCTTGGGATTGCATCAGGCAAAAAGGGGAGGCAAGGCCTCCTCCATGCCCAGGGTCCTTGGTCCAGACCTAATACTGGAGCCCCAGCCCAGCCCCACCTGTCTGCCACAGGTGCCCCCACAAGACGGCCCTTGCTCTGCGCATCCCATAGGGAAGTTCTGCTGGGTGCTTGGCCCCATTCCTCGTGCTGCGCTCCCTTTTATTCCCTTTTGGGTGTTCAGATCCGCAAAGCCACAGTGCCTCAGTGCTGAGCCACTGAGTAAGCAAGCGAGAGAGTGACAGGGGCAGCCTCCACAAGCTGCCTTCCCATGGCTTGGCTCACCTAGAGCTCAGGCTTCTGCCGCCTACCTGGAAGGCCATGAATGGGTGAAGAGGGTGTCAGAGCCCGGGATGACACCCACCAACTTGGAGTGGAGAGCAGGGGAGGAAGTGCTGGGTGTGTTCTGGGCGGTACAAGCATCCTCTGCAACATGTGGGATGCAGGTGGGGAGATGAGGAACCCAAAGGACTGAGCTTCCACCTGGGACTGGCGGGAGGCCCAGAACAGGGAGGCAGCGGAGAGAGAGGTGCACACACAGTACTGCCTCGGCTGTACGGAGGTCGGGGAGACCGGTCCCCAACTGATGGTGAGGGTGCCCGGAGCTGCACAGCGAGTGGTTCTGTCTAAAACCAAGGAAGGATCTTGACAGATTTCGACTCTGCCTGTGCCCGGCGTCCCGCGCCCCACAGCCTGGGTGCCCGCCCCGGCCCCTCACGCCCCCGTCCCCATTCCCGTTCCCGTCCCCACAGTGCCTCCCCTGCGGCCCCGGGGGCCAAGGCCGCTGCTTCGGACCCAGCATCTGCTGCGCCGACGCCCTGGGCTGCTTCGTGGGCACTGCCGAGGCGCTGCGCTGCCGCGAGGAGAACTTCCTGCCGTCGCCCTGCCAGTCGGGCCGGAAGCCCTGTGCCGGCGGGGGGCGCTGTGCGGCCGACGGGGTCTGCTGCAACGATGGTGCGCACCCGGAGGGCGCGGGAGCGAGCCGGGGCGCGGGCGCGGGCGAGGGCCCCCTCCCGACTGCGCCCGCGCTCACATTCACTTCCCCTCCCGCAGAGAGCTGCGCGATGGAGCCCGAGTGCCGCGAGAGCCTCCACCGCCGCGCCCGCGCCGGCGACCGGAGCAACAACGCCACGCAGCTGGACGGCCCCGCGGGGGCGCTGTTGTACCGCCTGGTGCAGCTGGCGGGGGCGCCTGAGCCCGATCCCGCCTCTCCCGACGGCTATTGAGCCCCGAGCCAGAGCCCCCGAGCTCTGACCTCGCAATATGGACAATAAACCCTGCAAACGCACCTGTGTCTGTCTGTGATTCAGGGCGGGGCGGGGCGGGTGGGGGTCGGTCACCTAACCCTGGCCTGGTCGGTTTCGCACTCTGCTCTGGGCAAATCCGCCCCTGCGAAGGGACGGATCCTCCCGCGGAATCTTACATAAGGACATGGAGGGGACATAACGACATGGAGGGGAAACTCTGGAGCCTGGAGGTGACAGGACCAGGGAAGGGGATAGAAGGGACACAGAGGTAGCAGATGATGGAGAGAGACGCAGAGGTATTGGGAGTGTGACCGAGGAGTAAGACAGAAGGAAGGTGTCACAGCAAGGGGTGACCATTCTGTCCTCACTTCATCCCAGGAGACCGAGGCACAGACAGACAGCCTGGGGAGGGGCACCTGCTCCCTAGATTTTTAGTACAATGGCCAATGTCCTTTTTTTTTTTTTTTTTTTTTTTTGGTATCAGGAATTGAACTCAGGACCTCATTTTGCCAGGCAGGCACTGCACCACTGAGCTGTATCCCCGGTCTCACAACCTCGATTTTATCTAAGACTGTGCCTCCTTTTTCTGCACACAGACCCCTCAGGCAGAGGTTCCCTCCTGTCCATTCCTGCTCCTGGCTATCAGGGATTCTCACACAGTGGGTGGTGGACTGCTCCAAAAAGTAGCTGCAAGCCCCTCTCACATGTAGCCCCTGCAACCACACACACTCTCCGGGAAGCAGACCAGAATACGGCTAGGGACCAGAGGAGACCCTGCAAATGACCTTCAGAACCAGACATAGCTGGCTGTGGTGCACAGCAGTAATCTTAGCACTCTGGGATGCTAAGGCAGGAGGATGGCAAGTTCTAACACAGCCTGGGCCACTTAGTGACTTAGCAAAACCCTGTATCAAATAAACAAATAAATAAATAAACAAAATTTTAAAAATAAAAATAAAAAAGAGGGTTGGGCTGTATCTCAATGAAACAGGGTTCAATCCCCATTTAAAAAATAATGAAGAAAAAGAAGAACCACAAACACACCAAGATGCACACCCACGAGACATAATGACAGGTGCACTTACATACATATCTGTACACGTGCCTGGCTCACCAGGACATCTCACCTTTGACAATGCAGCTTCTGGCAAAAAAGTCATCAGCACTTGACCTCTGTCTCTGTGGTCTTCCCTGTGCCCTCACCTCTTCTCTCTTCTCTGCACCCCCAGCTCCTAGGCCTCTCTGGCTTCTTCCCTGACCCCTCTGTCCCTTATACCCTTATCCTTCCTTCCCTTTCAGCCTTCTGTTAGGGTCCCAAGCTGTTGGTGTCCTCTCCTGGACTGTCTTGGTCCAGATCTTGGGGATCCTCCACGGCCAGGAGGGAACCGAGGTGGAAGTCACCCTGTGTCGATCCCACTGCCTAGGGGAACAGAACCCACCACTCAGACACCTCGGTGTCACCAGCCGTGTGCAGAGTCTTGTGCCTCACGTTCATGCTGACTCTCACCCCACCCCCACCCCATCCCTTCACCCCATCCCAACCCTCACTCTCATCCTACCCCCACCGTCATCCTCACACTTATGCTCACCCCATCCTCAAGCTCACCCTTATACTCACCTTCACATCCCAAATCACTCTAGCTCACCCTCACCCTGAAGCTCACCCTCGCAGGGGCTGAGCCATGCAGTGCAGGGCAATGTGGAATGAGCTCCCTCTCCGCCCTGACTTCCTGCCTCTTCCCGGTGGCCCACACAGCACCTGTCCCAAATGGGGGCAGGCCTGGGGCAGGACCAGACCTAACAGGGATCTATTAACCCTCCCTCTTTGTACCTGTCCATGACATATCTCACTTCCTCTTTCTCCCCTCATTCCTTTATCCTCCCTTCAATCTCTTTTCCCCTTCTCATTTACAAAAGCTTGTTTCCATTTCTCCCTTTTTTTTTCCTTTCCTTCCTTTTCTTCTCCCTCCTCCCTAGTTCCTCTTTCCAATTGACCATTTTCTTCCTATTTGATAATATCTAGTATATACATTCTGGTCCTTATTTATACTTTTGGTTCCTCATACCAGAGAAACAATGTGGTATTTACACCTGTGTGTCCTATTTATTTCACTTAAAAATATGGTCTCCAGCTGGGGAGCTAGCTCACGGTCTAAGCGTCTGCCTGGCAAGCTCAAGGACCCTCGTCCCAGGACTGGATGCGGTGCCAGCTCGGAACCAGGACCCGTGGGGCCACAGAAACCTGGTGTGGTGGCGCATGTCTATAATCCCAGGGCTGGAGAGGCTGAGACAGAAGAATCACAATGAATCTGAACTGCATTGAGACCCTGTAGCAAAAAAATAAATAAATAAATAAA